CATCGTTTCGCACACTGGTGGAATCTCATTAGAACGCACTAAAATCGGCGAAAATTATTACCTACTATCCCTAGACCTAGTCAAGCTCAAATGACCTATTGACATACGCACTTTCTTTATTTTCTTTCTTTCTACGTGGAAAATCCCAGAAAGGCTGCGATTTGATCATATTTTCGGTATCTTCAAATGTTTGAGGCAGATCCTGCTTAGCTGTCTCTGGTAAGTTGAGTGCTAGGAGTATGGCCAATATTGCAACGCATGCACAAATTGTCAAAGGGAGATAGTACGCGACAACTTGAAGATATGCAATGAAGGGCGATATTACTGTGGCTACGTATCCACATATATGTATTATAGCTGATCCTGAACCACGTACTGGCGTTGGAAGCACCTCAGCAGACCACTGCATGGTCGCATTACATGCTATGTTTATAGTAAACCTTACCACCATAGCGCATAACACAGAAATTAGTCCATCAGCTAGAAATGGTGTGAACAATGAAAACATGCAGCATACAAGGCACACGCCAATCATCATCCACTTTCTACCAGCGTAATCCAAAACAAACGAAACTATTAGCAAAGACGGCAACTCAGTCAATGAAACAAGAGTGAAAGATAAAAAGAAGTCAAATTGTAACTGTCCCACACTTCTTGCTGATACGTCAAATATGATCATGAGGCACATATACACCAAACATATGCAAATAAACATTTTTCTTAAAACTGAACTCTTCAACAACTGCAACACACTCGCACTTCCAGTATTATCTGCTTTTTTTGTCGCTGATACTATAAATTGTTCCACCATTTTTGACGGAATCGGTTTTTTATTTATTCGTCCGACCGAAAGGACTTTATCGATAGTATCTTCCACTCGTCCTTTGGACAATAACCATCTCGGGCTTTCCGGCATTATAAATGGGGCAAGGAGAGACAATGCCAAAGGGACACTAGTTGCCAAGCCTATAGCTTTCCAATGTCCGCAAGCCAATGAAATCCATGGCAGTATAGTCAATCCCAATGTGAAAAACAGCGCGAAAGGCAAATTTGCCATCAATGTACGGTATTTCGGAGCCACATACTCTAGGGCGAGGAGATAAGTCATCATCATGCAGTTGTCATATCCCATGCCAACAAAAAAGCGGCAAACGGTGAATTCAATGAAATTTCTTGAAAAGGTACTACCAATACCTGCAACACATGCAATCATATTGGCACAAGTCGCAGCCGGCAGCCGTCCGAAACGGTCAGCAATCCATCCCACTATGAAACCCCCAACAATTGATCCAACGAAGAAGAATGACTGCGCTGTAGCTTGGTAGCTGCTCCTGTCACATACCCATCCCATCTCGCTTGAAATAGTTGGATAGGGAATCTCAGATGTATTGAATTCCCAACCATTCACACAAGTTGCCACGGGCCAGGAAGAATTAGGTTTCTGACCAGTACTTAAAACTTCACTCCAGTTTACGACGTATGCTTGACAATGGGAATATCCGAATCGGTCATTTGAATCAGTTGGGATTGCTATATTTCTTCGCTCTTCTACAGTCAGGTTCTCAAGCTCTGGAATCCAACACCAATGATTTGGGGCAGCTTCAGTCATAAACATCTGGCCGAAATATGTGAAGCCACCAAAAATGTAGAAGGGAAACGTAGAGAAAAACAGTAGCCATTGGTAGCGACCGAATTCTCCTGCGCTGGACAAAAATGTATCGAAATCGACTTCTTTGCTATCTTCTTCTTCAGATTTTGACCCATTCTTATTTCCATGATTCACCTCCTCCATTCTTACTGTTTTTAACTGTTACGGTTTTCCAAATTTTTATGGATATCGTATTTAAAGTGTTCGTCTAAAACACGTCTGAACGGGTGTGTTACTTATTCTGACGAAAATAAAACAATTCATACGGTTTTTATCAAGCGCCACCATGCAAAGATAAACAAAAAGTTTATTTGCATATTCTTTACATCACAATGTGAATTTTTAAGATTGTAATGTAATGAAATTTAAATTGAAATATAATCCATTACCGCGCTCCAGTGACGTTTAGTAAGCCGATAAGAAAGGATTACGTTGGTTCGTGATTTCCATGTTTATCTATTTCTAAGTCATAATAACGTGACAAGTCTGTGTTAAAACTCCAGAATTATGGTTTAATTGCTGCACGAGCTTGTGAATTTCCTGATGGTAACCTATCCCCATCGCCCATTGACGTTAGCAACACGCAGAAGAGTTTCCGATGGGTGGCTTTAGTTTTTTTATTATTGATTGATCCTGTCAATGTTAGGTACCATGTACCATTAGCTGCTAGTTATGAAGGATTGAACTTTTGGTTAGTGGAACTTATCAGCTGGGATCGAACTTTTATGTACATCCCACATAAAATTAGTCGTTTACACATTTATAAAATACATATATTAGTCCAGTAGAATTAGCTTTTAAATCGGAAATAATTCCTACTAATAATATTGTTTTAATGGCTTCATTGGTTGCCCATTAAGATTCTCCTAAGTTTTCGACTTCGACGGAGTTGTGCTTAAGTGGTGGGGGCCCCCGAAAGGGGCATTTTTTCGGTTTTCAGGTTATACCGCGTAAAGGACTTACCCTATCAAAAAGTGGTCTTCATGACGGTTGAAGGGCACTTAATCCTGCATTGAATAAGACCAAATTCATATGTTTTGGACAAACCGTTCTCGCGCTAATGTTCGGCAAAGTAGAAAATATACGTATAATTAATGACCCTCTTCACGTCCAATGGTTTGTTACCCACAGGCTTCCAAGTCTTGGAAAGGGCCACCTCAACTAGTGTAACCCTATCAAGGCTTACGAGCTTGATGCGCCTATCCTTGTTCGTCCCAGCCGTTCCTTAACTGCGGTTGCTGCACCTCTTCCTGGCACTCACCTGAACGACTCTGTGTTACATACTGTGGCTGCCCCTCTTCCTTGTATCCTCCTGCATGACTACGTTGCCTAGCCGTATGCCTGGTCTAAGGTTCGACGCCAAAAATCAACAACAACAAGTTCAGATTAAAACGCTGAAGAGTTTTTTGTTTGTTTGTTTCAACGCGCTAATCTTAAGAATTACTAGTTTGATTGAAATCATTATTTTTGTGTTGAATAGCTCATACATTGAGGAAGGCTATAGGATATATACAATCACTCTACGACTAATAGAGGCGAAGCAGTAAAGAAAAATGTTGCAAGCACGGGAAATAGTATTTAAACTATTTTCACTCGTACGAAGTTGATTTTGTGGCGTCGAACCTTGGACCAGGCATATGGCTAAGCAATGAAATCGTACAGGAGGGTACAAGGAAGAGGGGCAGCCACATTAGGTAACACAGAGTCGTTCAGGAGAGTGCCAGGAAGAGGTGCAGCAACCGCAGTTAAGGAACGGCTGGGACGAACAAGGATAAGCGAATCAAACTCGTGAGCCTTGTTAGGGTTACACTGGTTAAGGCGACCCTTTACAAGGCTTGGAAACATGTGGGTAACTAGCCATTGGACGTGGAGAGGGTAATTAATTATACGTATATTTTCTAGTTTGCCGAACTTTAGCGCGAGAACGGTTTGTCCAAAACATATGAATTTGGTCTTATTCAATGCAGGATTAAGTGCCCTTTAACCGTCATGAAGACCACTTTTCGATAGGGTAAGTCCTTTACGCGGTATAACCGGAAAACCGAAAAAACGCCCCTTTCGGGGGCCCCCACCACTTAAGCACAACTCCGTCGAAGTCGAAAACTTAGGAGAGTCTTAATGGGCAACCAATGAAGCCATTAAAGCAAAAAAATCTTTTGTAGGAATTATTTCCGATTTAATCAATTTTTGTGTTTAATTCTACTGGCCTATATCTTGCATGTTAGTCATCCAAATAGCACAACTACCCAAGGATATCCTGAAACCTACTTAATGAACGTGACGTCGAATAACATGTTAACAATCGACAAACTAGTCATGCTATCATGAGTGAGTATTGAAGACGAGACATGACGTTACGTTAGATGTTCGCCAATTTTATTTTGCATGATATTTTCACTTACAGCCAGCTGGCTTTTTACATATTTTATTTTACGCTACGTTAGCAAATTGGACACGGGAACAATTCCTGTTTTCATTTTTTGCAAATTATCGGATTGTCACTGTCATCATCATCATAGCAACTGACAAAATACAGCTACAGCATCTGATCTTTATCATCTTATTAGATAAAATTTATATTGTAAGTACATTCTGGTATAAAATAAGTTCTTTATCAGTATGCCACCATGACACCAGTGGTATATTTACAATATTTTATGGCCAATGACGTTAACATTAACAACGTTTGTTTATTAATAAAATCAAAATGATCTAGTTCTTAGAAGATAATTTTGAAGAAAAAGTTCAAAGCGTTTTATTGTTGGGGAATTTTGTTTGTTAATGGGCCGTCGAGAGTGCTTTGTGATGTATTTGATTGACGTTATGCTGACAAATATTATTATATTTCAATATGTTATTACGGTTAATGTGTACGTGATACTAGCTAACGTACATTTTATTATATTTTTAGTTCATTTCGGAAAATTGCTGTTAACTTAATGGGTTTTTGTTTATGTTTTTCTAAGAAATTAAAACGTGCGTAAGAACAACCAATTTTCAATTCAAAGAACATTGTTTTCCAGTAAAGCTCGTAATTACGGCTAGTGTATTTTAAAACTAAAATAATTAAAAATAATATTTTGCATATGTACCAGTCTATTGGGTTTTTATTGCTTTAACACAAACATTTTCATTAGCACACAACTGACCAACTTAGTAATGAAATTGAAACACTGAATCAATTGCTTAATTAAAATAGGTAAAAAAGTGTTAGTCCAGAGGGCACAATAATTTTAAGCTGCGCAAAAATAAACTTGAAACTTTTTAGCAAGAAAACAGATTAAAAAATAATTTCGCGCCAATCCCACTGACAAAGAACACAAAACATTGAAAATTTAAATGTGGAACTTACCGCGATCGCTGGACTTATCCGTTCGATGCGTGGCAAAGGAAAACTTTTCGCGCAGTCCGGGGTGCGTGTATACGCGCGGTCGTGATGGTCATCCCACGGTACTAGAGTAGATAGGGCGCCATTGGTGCAGGCATGCGTGTTGCGCACTTCATTGGTAATGTCTTTGCGCGTTTGCGATGTGTCATCCGATTGCAACGTTATGTTGAAACTCAAAAGAATTAAACCGCAGCTTAAGTTCTTCCTTATCCATTAGGTAGGTAATTGTGCCAACTGGGGGGGACGGGACTAAAAATATCTATTACGAGGGGCGGCTGAAAAGTCTTGAGCCTAGGGTATTAAAAATGCCGATAGAAAAGTATAAAAAATATATTTTTCTATTTAATCTCCCTCTACTACAACGGAGTTCTTACATTTGTGTAAAAGAGCTTGTTGACGATGGCCATCAAGAGTAGATACTAGGTAGCTAGATCTACGTATTTATGTACCTTGAGAAATATGTAACTAAAATAATTATTAATTATCTTTGTGTTTTGTTTATGAAACTTATCTGTTACTAGATTTGCCTCTTTGAGTAACTGAAATATGTCCTTAGAATGCTATATGTACCTATGTGCAATTATCTATTCTTACAAAACTAAAATGTTACCTATACTATATCCAAATGTTTAATACGGTTGTTTACCTACAATGTTTGTTTGATTTTGGGATCAATAAATAATACGCAACTCCGGGTGCGCGTAGGTAATAATATTGTCGCGCCTAGAACATGCTAGAGCTAGCCGTTAGCGATGCGGCCCGCTGATTGGCCGGAGGCCTCTGTCCTTTTATGGCCAGAAGCCACTCGCGGCCCACCGCGCCGCACACGCGGCCGAGAGCCGCGCCAGTCGTGATCCAACAACTTCCGCGAACGCACGTACGCACCCCCGGACGCGCCTTTCGGTTCTGGTAGCGCGGTCCCGCTCGCACTCGTTGCGTGCGAGCAGGCCCCAGTTGGGCCCCGCGTGCATAGCGACGCGCTGGCCGATAACGCGGCCTCCCTCGCACTCGTTGCGTGCGAGCCGCCCCCACTCAGGCCCCACGCATCTGCCGACGCCGCTGCTTACATACCTACGGCAGCGCGCGCGCTCCATCTCACTAGCGATGAGTGTTTAGGCACTGTAGATTCACCAACTTTATTTAGCGAATGTACAAACAGAGAATCGTTGCCGCGCATACATGATGTGCCTCCTGTCGAATGTAATATTATTGATAGATTATTTTGTTCACAATACGAACATGATTTGTTACAGTTGCAAATTTTGTCTTTAGAATCATTAGGAATAATGAATGAACCTTGTAAATATAAAGATTTATATGTGATTAATATTTTAGAAAGTTTAGGAAAACTTGTGGACGGTTTTTGGACTGAGGGCTTGCCGTGGACGCATGACGTCATTACTTTGCCGGACTTTTATCGAAATACCTTTGACCGCTTGGAATCTGAGCTCAGAAATTTGATTCTTCGCGGAGATCGTTCGTGGTGGCCACGAAAAAGATCTCGCAATAGTACAGGATTAGATAGGTACTTAACAAAAATAAATATTACCTAATGATTAAATTTTGTAAAAAGTTAATTTGTTATCTTAAATTTATATTTAGTTACTTACTACTGTATTAAATTATCTTTCTTTTCTTTGGTTTTGACGATTGATCACGTTTACTGCGTGCAACTGAAAATTATTGTTTATACTTTATCGTTTTTATAACATCGTCCTATCCTAATACCTACTTATGAATACTGTATTAGAACCGCGCAACGCTTGGATGAGCCGTGCTTGAGGCAACTGGCACTAAGGTCTGGGACCAACAGCTGTGATGAAGTGACCAGTGACGCGCGTAGTATAACTTAGGTTATGAGTGTCGCAAAGCGACACTAGGGGGGAGATTGTTGACGATGGCCATCAAGAGTAGATACTAGGTAGCTAGATCTACGTATTTATGTACCTTGAGAAATATGTAACTAAAATAATTATTAATTATCTTTGTGTTTTGTTTATGAAACTTATCTGTTACTAGATTTGCCTCTTTGAGTAACTGAAATATGTCCTTAGAATGCTATATGTACCTATGTGCAATTATCTATTCTTACAAAACTAAAATGTTACCTATACTATATCCAAATGTTTAATACGGTTGTTTACCTACAATGTTTGTTTGATTTTGGGATCAATAAATAATACGCAACTCCGGGTGCGCGTAGGTAATAATATTGTCGCGCCTAGAACATGCTAGAGCTAGCCGTTAGCGATGCGGCCCGCTGATTGGCCGGAGGCCTCTGTCCTTTTATGGCCAGAAGCCACTCGCGGCCCACCGCGCCGCACACGCGGCCGAGAGCCGCGCCAGTCGTGATCCAACAACTTCCGCGAACGCACGTACGCACCCCCGGACGCGCCTTTCGGTTATTTTCACTTACAAACTGGACTTTCATTTCTTTTATTCATCTCATCGTTCACCCATCGACCTCCATCGCCTACAGAGCTTTTAACCCACTCAAAAAAAAATCGCAATCTTTGCCTTCGAAATGAGCCTTTAAAAATTGTTAGGATTATGGCCAAAGATGTCCTAAAACTCCTGCGAAGTTGTGACTCGACGCTGGTTGTCGAGAGCCGTGAGCTTTTTTGACATCGCGCGCACCTCTATTTCATGTGCAAATGAGTATGAAAAATATCGCCGATACGTTCCTTGCTAATGCCTATGGCTTCAGCTATCTGTCACAGCTTAATTCGCTGATCTCTAAAGCAAGATTCTTTAACTTTTCATTATTTTATTCGTTAATGGCGAAATCTGGCCGCTCTGACTTGCGGTCATCTTTTAGCGACTCCCTGTCATGCTTGAACTATCGGATCCAATCTTTCATGATGGCAAATGAAGGCCCAGTCTCCCCATAAACTGTAGACATCTCTTCAAATGTTACCGTCAGCATTTTGTCCCTCTTTTTGAGGAATTTTATGACAACTGTGTACTTTAATTTCGTACATTGCGCGGATGACTGAGACATGATGATGTTTACGGATTAATTACTAAAAGCGTGATGACGCAAATGAAATTAAACTTTGTACATAGGCTCAAAACTTTTCAGCCGCCCCTCGTATGTTATGTACCTTGATTTGTCAACTTTTATCTCAAAAAACATTTTAGAAGATTTTGTTACGACAATATTTTAAGTATTTTACGCGTAAATATAGAAAACTAGCTTTGGCGTGCGACTTAGGCTCCATTAATTTTGTTCTGTCTCAAAGAATTTATCGCACGTTCCTTTTTCAACAACTATGGCATGTTTTACTGAGTTTCAAACTATCTCCATAAAAAAATCATCAAAAGCGGTATAGTGGTTTACAATGTACATTTCACGCGGGTGAAGTCGCGGGCAAAAGCTAGTAAAAACATAATTTGTAAAAAGTCTACACATCAGACGAGTCTGCTATGTAAATTTCCAGGAGCCGGCTGGTTTCGATCCAGCTTCCTCTTGCATGCAAAGCAAGCGCTCTACCAACTGAGCAAACGGCTCCAGTTTATAAGCGACGAAGTTCATCATAGCTTTCAAACTTTGCACGTTTCCAATTTGGTGGAAATCCACTAAAATAAAAGTAGAATAATAATAATAAATATAGAGGTTTTACACGAATAAATATAGCTCTCGTTTGAAAGTGTCTTATTTAAAAAAAAACAAAACAGCGCCTATGGTCGATTTTATTTATTTTAATGCTTACGATTATTTGATCAAAATCTACACAAAATACTAATTCATGGAAACTTTATTTAATAATATATTTTTTTTTCGTTGTCAAGTAAGTTTGCTCCCATATAACTTACAAAATCATTTTGAAAGCATCGGGTCCTAAATCCGATGCCTTTCCAAAAATACAGCAAAATAAGTGCCTTTATTAAGTATTGTTGTGAATCGTTACTTCGGTATGGCACAGTAATGTACGACCAGACTTAACTAGTCAGGAAAAAACCAAATTAAACCGCGTGCTAACTTAAGGCAACGCCATCTAGCGAAATATGCTTGTGTTACGAGTCGGTGCACCACAAAAGTCGAGCAGCGGCGGGGTTCGAGTGTTCCTCGAGTAGGAGGGTCCGAAACCTTTACCGCTTGGCTATTTTCACTAAATTTATTACCATCATCGTCAAATCTGTTTACATAATCTCTTCGTACTCTTCGTAGCATTTAAATTGATAATATTACGAATATTAGGTATTGTCAGTAATAAGTATAACGTTTTACCACTAAAGAGTAGGCAAAAAATTACCCAGAATCCCCAGAAATTTCATAATTATGTGCTGTTGTTTCATAAAAGTTACGATGTGGTATACTAGATACACAGTAAATAAATCATATAATAATACACTCAACATCAAATAAATCGCACCTCCCGCAACAAGCACTTTCAAACGTATGCATCCCCACTTTCCACCAATATTGGCACCATTTAAAGCCTAGTTCTAAACTTCATTTCATTAAAGGAACGCCAAAAATGTGTCTTTAGAAGGATCCAGAGTCACTTCTTCAAAAAATAGGAGTGCATTACCGCAGCAAAATTTTTATAAATGTTGTGTTTAAGAGAGTCGAGAGTATAGCAGATAACTAGTTCATCGTGAGCAGAAATTTGTCCACTAATAGCAAAATTCGTTCAAATTATAGTTTTAAAGTTATTAGGAAAAAACAGATTTTGCTGGGGTAATGTTTGAAACGTTACCCCAGCAAAATTTTTTTTTGAAAGTCGTTCTATCCCGGAACCAAATACATGGATAGATAGCTTTTGTTGCGTAGTAATTTGTCCACGAATAGCAAAATTTGTTCGTGTTCCAGTTCTCAAGTTATTCAGAATTTTGCTGGGGTAATGTTTTGTGATGTCCCAGATCTCGTAAATGGCTCAACGCANTTTTATAAATGTTGTGCTTTAGAGAGTCGAGAGTATAGCAGATAATTAGTCCATCGTGAGCAGAAATTTGTCCACTAATAGCAAAATTCGTTCAAATTATAGTTTTAAAGTTATTAGGAAAAAACAGATTTTGCTGGGGTAATGTTTGAAACGTTACCCCAGCAAAATTTTTTTTTGAAAGTCGTTCTATCCCGGAACCAAATACATGGATAGATAGCTT